TATATATATATACATTTGCAGAATTAACATGTAGAAATAATATATAGGCCAAGAGATATGCACATATGGCCGAATCAATGATTGATAAAAAAGACCTAACCTGCGGTTGACCCTTAGCGTATATATATGTTACTATCGTAGTCATCCGAAAAGGAGACCCGCATTGTAACTAGGCCCACTTTAGTCTCGATTGACATGCTTACAACTGTTTGTGAAACGCTACAAGCCCTTCTATCGGCTGCTGGCTACCCGGTCTGTTGCATTATTAGCATGTGACCTCACTTCACCGACGAAGAGATGTCCAAGACGTTACGGTTATCAATTATTGTTTCATACGTTACTCTTTGTACACGGTTACGGTCGCTGCCAGTGCCGTAAAAACAATTATAGGAAACGACAACAAAATTTCTTTTTCCCCAGCGTGGATTTAGGCCACGTCAGCATTAAGATGACGCATTGTACAGAGCACGCTACTGACTGATCCATCAGGGTCGGTTAACAAGATGTATAGAGGCTTAAGTATAGTTCTAAATAAAAATTGCCCGAGATCAAGGGGTGGCACGAGCTTTCTTAATAAAATGGTGGCTAAGGCCGTATTATACAGAAAGGTAGCACAAGATTGTGCTGGACTTACTCACAAATGATATACTACAACCATAGGTTTTGCACACACTATTTGACTTATATCAATATAATTACCCGCTGTGGGCTGGCAGCTTATCGCGACATGTAACTGCTTCTCTAGCAACTATCAAATTTATTTGTTCGTAAACAATTAAAGTCGAAAAAAACAAGATGGTACAAACTACTTGCAGAAAATTGGTGGGAAACACCAATTTTACTACATTAATTACGTTTTACGGGCCTTACCACATTCACTACGGGCCTCTTACGAAAACTCTCGATCTGATAAACAATTGTCTAGGCACTGGGTAACACTTCTCGATTATTCGGGCGCAAGTATTTCAAGCGCGTGGCCAATAATCCCTATTTGCAGAACGTTAAGTTAACCGGATGCGGCCGCTTGATTCGTCAAAAACTACCATGGGCAACTACAGGCGTATCCGCTTAGATTTATTGCGTTTACTTGATACATTTGTTTAAAAAAAATGTAATTACTTTCAGGTGTTCAAAACCGAAACGAGAAAAATCGTCCAACGATCCAGTTTCCACCGATTAGCAATAAAACAAATCACAATAACAATGTCACGGTCGTTCATAAACAGGTGCGAACAAACATTTAGTGTTTATGTCTGTAAGTAGACGGCCCAAAGCGTGCCTGTTTTTGTGCAGTCACACAGCATTTGATGTACCGTCAGAAAAAAACAAATCGAAAGCTTTAAAGAGCTTAAATTCACAATACTCTGTTTCTATCACAATACTCTTTCGACAAAACTAAGCGCCCATTAGATGCATCCAATAGCAGCGAATTTCAGTTAAAGTGAGATTGTCTAATGGCCCGACCAACGATGATTCTTTTAAGAAGATCTGACCGATTTTTGTTTGTAGAATGTTTGTAAACAAATTTTTTTGTGTTTTTGTAGCAACAAGTATTCTCTCCTCCGTTACTTTTTGTCGACATGATAACATTTCATATATATATATATATATATATATATATATATATATATATATATATAAAACAAAATGCAAATTTACAAATGTACAAATTATCCTCTAAATTAGCTATGCGAAACAATTTCCCTTCATCGTTCTGTGATGCCATTGTTCTAACAATATAGATAAAGAAGAAGAATGTTCGACAGGGAAATATTTACCGGCAAGTTATCGGTGACATTGTTAAACTGAGATCATGATTACCCTCGCAAATTTTACATGTAAATTGTGCTATTTATGGAATTGTACAGAAAGAGGCCACCTCTCAAAGGCAGAATCGTGGCAAGACTGCTATGTCGGTTATACTACATCTATTTCCAAATTTTTCAATCGTAGATTCTTCGTGACACCTTGGCTCAGTTAGAGATTCAAGATGCTGTCTGGTGCGCATCACCAAACGACAACTATTACCAGGTTTGTATCGAATACGGTATTAGAAAATCTCTTATGATGCTAACTTCGCACGACCGTCTCTACCATCGGCAATAACCAATTTTTTGTAAAATGTCCCAGGTGTATTTCGGTGTAGAGTCGTCTGACGACACCGACATGGTTCTCCGTCTGTTAACTGCGAGAGGCATTGGCATAGATGAAAGAAGCACTATCGCGTGAGTCTTTTCATTGTTTATAACTGCACATTTAAATAAATAGCACATTTGTACAGCCGACGATTGAATCGAACCGATAGAATTAATAATTATTTATCTAAATATTAAAATATAGAGTCTTTTTATCTAACCATTACTACTTATCAAAACTACCTGTTCGACAAATGGGTGTCTTGCCCCGAAAGAATGGGTTATGTGATGGTATTCGTATGATCGCTGGCGTCATGCGTCCAGAAGCCCCATTCGTCCGCAATAGAGCAGACTGTCAAAGCCGGAAGCAACGGTTTCAAGCGCTCTGTTTTTAGTAGCCGCCCGCTTGTGCATGTACTAGGCTCAGACAAACACGGGAGTAGCATCATACGGCCACGTCGCTAATACGTACCACGAAATGATGGGTTACTTCTCAGTTGGGATCTCCTGAGAATCCTTACTTCTCCTTCAAACCATAAGCCAGTGTAATGGTCGCTACTGCATGCAACACATACGCAAGCTATAATAAGTGTAATATAAACGTTCGCTAGTGCATACCACGCACTAAATTCTGTACCATACACGTAGCCCCATAGTAGTTGTAATCGTCGATAATAAAGTGGGCGTACTCATTTTTTCAGTCCTGTTGACGTCACGTCACTGTGTCGTTCGGAGGAAAAAATTGCTTCACTGCTTCTTAGCGTAACGATCATCAGTACAAGTAGGACGAGCTGAAGAGACTGCTTGTCGGGTAAAACATTATATATAATCTTTGATTCTGCCGGAAGCTCGGCATAATGCGCATGATACACACTAAATGTATGGAAAAACCTCTATGCTCTTTTTCACTTATTATACTACGCTCAAATAGGACACTGTCGACGGATTTGTCGTCACTCGGACAAAATACATTTGGTCCTACTTCATATTGCAACGTTCAACTTCGATGTAGGATGGATGTATATGTCTCTGAAATCCAATCCGTCTTCAACAATATCCACCTTTGACGCGCTCCATTCATTGCTCACGTCGAAGTTATATCAGAAATACCAGTAACTGTAGCAGCAAGACGAGAGTCGCATGTCCTCCTATTTATCCACTCTTGTGTACACCAGCTAAGTATCTCGTGCCCGAGATAGAGATAAGCTAACGGATGACAGATCTCTGGGGACGTCCTTTTTATGTAGCTCGAGGAATTGGTGATCGTGGTGATAACCCTCAAGCCTTGTTGTCCGTCCGGACTTTCTGCTCCCACCGCGTGCCTTACGACTCAGAAAGCCTGGAAGACTTTGTCGTTGTTCGTCGACAGCGACTCGAACCGTCGATCTGGGAGATAAACGGGGTGGTATCTGCACCGGAGGCCGTAAAAGGGGTTGTTTATCACAGAATCAGATGAGTCCTAAAACGACAATACCCATATATATATACATATATATGGGATAGTTCCTACGCCCGCCGGCGTTTCAGTAGTGGCCGCCGCCATATGCTATTCACTGGTATGAACCGTCGTGAGAGCGGAAGTGTGGTGTCTGCAAGAGTACCTAAACAAAACCAAACGAAAGTAAAAAAGAAGGAGAAAAGCCGAAGCGGTGAGAGAAAGCAAAGAAACAACCCCTGCTACCACTATTGCTGCTATACGCGATACTACTTGGACCTGAAGACGCTATGGTTCATACAGGGGGCAAGACTCATAGGTTCACATCGCTATCGAGCCATAAGCACTCCTACTACTGCCGACATCGGCATGACAGCCTGGTTTCGGCAGGCGCAGCTCGTTCTACGCGCTAATAACATCACGGACCGTGCACTAATAACGACTATATTTACTATACGAACGACACAGCGACAACGAAAAGCGAACGACGCTACACAGCTTCCTTGCAATAGCAAAAACAAAAACAGTAACAATAGATTCCCATTGTTCGCATCAATGCCCGCGTACTCCGTTCACATAACCTTGCCCCTATCGTAATAACGAGAGCATTCTAAGGAAAAGAATTAACATTGTTGACCTTGAACGTGGTAAACTCCTTTCCGCTTAATTTCTTTGGTCGTCCGTACCATCCCTTATCAACTCTCTCTTTTTTCAGGCTCATATAAATAACGTCGTACTTCACAAGGCTTCTTTTGGTCGCCTATTTCAGAACAACTATTGCTTAGTTCGAAACAAAAACAATGAAAAATCCATTGAGGGCATTAGGATCTACATGCATCGTTTTGATTGCCCCTTGAACAAATCTATAAATCGAATTTTTACTACAGGCAGTTTAAATCCTGGTCGATAACATTTAGCTTCAAGTTGCATTTAAAGCTCTACACTTACACGCTGATAACATCCAATGTGAATCTGCCCCTTTATTGAAGTTGTGTCCGTTACGATTGCTGCTTATGAAAACACAGAATTCTTCTTTGGTTTCGCTGACTTTTAGCGTTAGGTTCAAGGCTTTGTTTGCTTATATTAAAGCAACGTATCATTTTTACGGAAATCTTTCTCACCAGAAAGTATCTCCATAGAAAGGTAAAGAAAAACTGAAGGGGTTCATATGAAGATTGCATGCTTCGAGGCCAAGCGCGTGCATTTCACGACTTTTTAGTAATAAAGTCCAAAAGGACGCTAGAACCGAAACTTGTGCTACTCCATGTGGAAGGTCAATAAAAATAACGTGCAGCGAGCTCTCCAACGTAAACCTATAGTAACCTATTATATAGACAGCAAACGACAAGATATTAGTTCTACATCATAAAGCATTTTTATTGTGGTGAGCGCAATCGGTATTGGATTTTTCGTCAAACAAGACTCGTACCAATATACACCCACTTCGACGTGCACGTTCCCATCCCCAAACAAAAATCAGAAGATAGATACACAAAACACATTTCAAAAACGGCAATTATAAGCCGGTTATATATTACGCACGGCTGTCGAAATAGCCTCTTGCACACCCTCGTTGTGCTCGTTACCTTAAAACTTCAATCAGTCAAAAAGTAGTTAGTGAAAAGCTTCGTATAAACGTGCTTCGTCGATCACTCAACCAGCACAGACTTCAAGGTTGCTTGGGTTTAACTAGGCAAGGATTCCTATGTCAACTTTTACTTTAAAACACTTTATAGAATACATAAGCCCGCTTCGGCAGAAAATTATATCATAATGTCGGAATGGCGCTCTGCGATCGTTCGTGCACTGTGAAAAATTGCCTTTGTCGTTTAATTACAGATGCATGCCGTGCGCGATCTTCTACCGAAGTAACGACGTCAAAAAGGCTTTGGATAACAACGACGACGAAGTGTGAGTTGGCAATACTAATAATAATAACAACCTTCGTTCGGATTTAGTCTCTTCGAAATACATTGTTTAGCGGGAACTACTTCCTCAAAGCAAAAACTGAGACCTGCTTCTCCAAACGTTAAGGGCCGATTAACAAATAATACAGCATCTATAAATGCCCTTCTGAAGAACTGTCTGAAAAGAAGTGTATCGTTCAGAAGCATTTAAATAAATCAGATGGATAATGAAACACTTTGGCACTTAAAAGAAGTTAGAACTACTCAAAATAGATTCATTCCTCGCTGTGTGGTCACGCAGTAGACCTAATCTAAATCGATAGAGTTAATTTTGATCTGCTTAATGGGAATCTAAGTTCTAGAATTTACCAATAGCTAACGTTAACCAAACGATTATGACAAAATTCCATTTAACTACTGCCGTTTTTACTAACTTTTTTTTCGGTCAGAAAATTTTGCGAAAGTATCTTTTGGGTTTAATTATCGGAAAAAAAATGTCCAAAAAAATAGCGAAAGATAATCGAAATAATCTTAGAGTCGCGAATCCTAACTAAGAATCGAGATGAAGTGCAAAAACGATTTAACCTGTTACGTTTATAACTACGAGTTTATTCTCGAAGCTGCATATTAGGCTATCTTTAACCCAAATAGAAAGGTTCTGTTAGGAATAAGGGGAACTCGGTCAACGTGTTGATTGTAACATCTTTTAGGCATTTCGTTAAAATGTCAAATTAAGAACTCTAGCGCTAGTTCTCATATCATGTTCTTACCCTAGCCTAAATCTGCACGCTTGATCACCACGATTTAGAATTCAAAGTACAGATATGTACGAAAGCACAGGTGGGCAAATTCAGGTCTGATCATTCGATCAGGGCTGCACTGCATTCGACCCTTCCATAAACTCTCGGCCACATATCAGGTGACTGTCACGTTCGAGGCATGCAATTAGCTCGAAATAATTGACTGTACAAGGGTTAGTCGTTGACGTCTGACGAGGATCGTTATGTGTAGCGCACTAAGAGTAGCAGGCCAAATCTTGAAACCTTATATATTTAGATAAGCAACATATACAGACTATCCAGCGTATAAGTATTTAAATTATCTCAGAAACTGCTGTCACAGCCTCAGTAGGATGTGCGGTATTCGCAGCAAAACGGTTGGCGGTTCTTCTTTGACCGCAATCTAAGATGGCGCTTAATTTCTTGCAGAAGTTGCCCGTTCTAGTCAGTTTTTTTAGATATGGACATATATAATGCCCTAATTTTCGTCGCTTTCCGTCCACAGCAGACGCCCACTTCGTCGCGGTCAAAAGTACCTCGTTGACAGGAATGAGATGGGTATTCCTCATAGTGCTGGTTACTGTAACCTTTTTATGAAATGTGCGTTTCAGTTATTAATCCGGTTTGTTTTACGTGTGTATTAATTTGCGGAATTAATTAATGCGCAAATGCATTAAAGAAAACTATTTTCAAAAAAAAAAAAAGTTGTGGCAAGGATTAGAGAGCATTAAAGGATTGATGTTTATTGTAGTAGGCTTAGCTACCAAGATGCAGAAATGGTTCTATTGACAATCAAACGTACCATTGAGCGTTTTATTCTATAGAAGAGGTCTGTATTAGTACTATAGATCCTAAATGCAGTAAATTTCGCTTCTCACTCAGAACACATGAAGTACTCAGCCAATACTGGAGCCTAATTTTTTCCATAATAAAGCTAGCTAGTTAGAGTATTAAAGACTAAGTCGTCATTATATCCGTGCGGGAACATAGAATAGAAATGATCATAGTGTTATTCTCCTATATACAGATTCCGTTCAGGTAAGCCAATCGAGGTAATTCGCGTCATAAGACAACAAGCCTGCCAAACGTAACGATAGAAATGTGTGAGATAAAGACAGCGTGTTTAGAGTGAGCTGCAGAAATACAGAAACCTATGGTAAAGTAGTTAATTTATTACTATATTGGCTATCTTGCAGACGAATTTTACGAAAGAGGCCAGAAATTTAGAAGTTGAAGACAAAATCTGATTTAATTTTTTTTTGTTTTTTATAAATCATAAGCTTATATATATATATATATAAAGAAAGTAAGGGGGGCGTACGTTTTCTTTTGATGCTCTAATGTTATCTATTCTGCTGAGATGAGCTGACAGTTGGCATGATGGGTAGTGACTTGGTGGTTTGTCAATCACCGAACCCGGACGTGCGAGCAGGCGGGAATTCATTCGTTTTGTGTCACTGTTTTGCGGCATCTCCGTCAACGTAGACGTAGCAGGAAAAGACGATACTGCATAATTCATGATCATGACGACATGTAACAATTTGGTACGTGAATAATAATTCTCAATCAACAGCGCCACGTGCGATACATGGTCCCCCTTCGATGTGCCGCTCTTGCTATAACTTTACCTGTTCAGGTTAACGCATTTCTCCTTTACTAAAGGCGAATTCATTATTCAACCGACCTATACATTTGTTAACAGCTCTGTAAATATCAACCGATTTATGTATAACTTAAGAATAGTTCATATCGGTTTACTTGGGAGCAACGTTTAATCGGCCAGGCCGGATACACGCAAGTCCAGGCACACGGCCTTTAATACATAACCAGCTGCTTGTTACGTGCATTTGGCTAACTAGTGCAGTTTCGTGCATATTTCGTTGGACCCAGCACGCTAACCAATTTTCAAGTCTTTATGCCAGTAACCCAAGTTAGTCTTACCCAGACAACGTTTTTTGTCACCCTCTGTCCATGGGGCCAATGCCGCGGCTCACGCTTAAAAGAAAGTACTAGAAAAAATTCGGAGCTGCCGGAGTGGCGTAGAGGCCAAGGCGTCAGTGTTGACAAACGGTGCAGCTGCCACCGATGGCAAGCCTAGATTTGCTGCGCCGCTCGGAGCCCTTCGAGTCAGAGTCTGTCCTCTTTTAGTTCCACCTTGTTTTCTATGGGCCTTCAGCTTCTGCATCATCACAACTAGCACAACTACCTGTAAGACCCACAATTGCGGTTAAGCAGGTGCTGACGCGTTTTCTTGTCCTCTGTCTTCCGCTTTCTCACTGACTGCGTTCGCTCGTCTGTTCGAGTTTACGTTCGACTGACTTAGCGCTTTCAGTTTTGGTTCATTGCATTCGACCCCCCCCCCCCCCCCAAGAAAGGCCTTTTCCGATAAATCGAATGTTGATGGTCTCTCGAGCTTAAACTAAGGCTCCGTGGCTGGTCTTTACACGACGGCAATGCTCTATCATTCCGGCTTGTATAACAAACAAGTTGGAATAGATGACCACCTATAGGTAAGCTATTATGAAGGGCTATCGGCCAGGTAATGTAGGAACAAAGGAAAACTAGCTTTCCTTGTCTGCTTTTGGATCATAATCACAAAGCAGAAGGCTATTCATATTCTTTCTCAGACGACCTAATACCTACTTAATATCAATATGTAATAATAACAATAATAGTTTATTACACGAATTCGATCGGTTAACAATATATCAGATTTGAAGAGTAAAGGGCGATTGTAGTTGTGCTTTCGTATGCTTATATTAGTCTTTGTGTGTTGAAACATTTTAGATCGGTATATTCGTTTTATTATCGTTTTTCCGAGAGTGGTGGTCATCCTTGTAAGTTCCTATTGTTCCTATGCTGTTAGAGAAAATATACGGCAGCCGTTACATCTGGCCTTAACGTTTAAATGCACCTGCAGTCTAATTATACGAGCGTTAGCGTGGTCATTATTGCCACCTGTTTGGGTAAAGGTAACGACAGACGAATTAAGACTTAATTAACAAAGGAAGACCACATATCCATACATATACACACTGACAACGACGGCCACACGAGCTAATGAACGAGAGAAAAGGCCCGAATGAAGTGAGCGGGTCGCACGTGGTCCTTCTCGACTACCGCTGTTGCTGTGTTCATTGTGACGGAGCAACTTCCCACGACGAAAACGGATTGCCACGTGGAGCCATTGTATGGAAATGTTTGCTGACATACATGCATTTGCCTGTAGTAAAGGCTCTTTGAAGGTTTTCTCTGACTAATACAAACGAAACGAAAGCCAAATAGACGGCGTTGAAAGTGCGTCGCACGCTTTGTCGTCCAGTAGCTCTTACCCTTGAAGGAGACTTTAGGCAAATCGAAGGCATAAAAGTGTTACTAAAAGACGGTATGTCCGGCCTGTGAATAGCTAAATCGCCGCGCAAATAACGTAGATATGTATATAATAAACACCGATGTTTTTATGGCAAGGCGTATCGAGGGATGCATCAAGTGTATACTATGCAAATAGCAAAAACTTGTGTGATTGTTAAAACTCTAAAGAAAGCATTGTACGACAATTCTGAATATTCCTACTATAAAATTACAAACAGTACATGTTTAAATAAAGGTTAAGGCGGCCCGGCCAGATAATCAATTTACCGTCTTTGGCTAGACTATAATGGTAATGAGGACAACTTATTTTTGTTACATGCGCGTATTCCTGAGCGTTTATTTCAATGTGACAATGCCCCTAACACCTCTCTTTATGTTAACGATGTTTGCTATAATGCCTGGTAGAAGGATGGTGGACTACGAAATACTATTCGGTTGTCCGGAGCTATTTCACGGGTCCAAAAATTTTAATCAATTTTCAACTTTAAGAGAACATCACATTATCTCGTCATATGTTCTCCTTGAATATTAGTACCTTGAAGCTAACGCTCTGGAAGTTTCTGAACTGTTACCTACCAGTAATTTGTATTACCACACCTTATTTATGAGATTTGACTTCAAGATACTCCACGCCCATTTAACGCCTCTTTAAGGTATCTAAGATAATAACAAATGCCTCTTATATCTATACAGCTACGAGCATAAATTTAGCTTAACTTAGACGAGCGTTGTAGTAGTGAATCCCTTATTGCTATACAGTTTTGTCCATAAAATGCGAAGTATAGTGGTTTTAATGTTGTTAATGGCAGCAGTAGAGCATTTCAAATGTAGTCCGCGCCTGAATTCAAATAATTCTTCTCTTCGCATAACAGGTTATGAAGCTCTTTTTGCGGAACCTGTTGATGCATGAAGACTATAATCGTGAGTAAATCTATTTTTTTTTTTTAATGTATGATTCGTAGGGTTGAAGCGCGACCTCAGAGAAAGCATTACCGAAATGAAGCTCGTTATTCAACAATCAACTACAGATATAGGTTTATACTAGGAGTGCATGAGTTTATTAAAAGAAAGCGAGGTTGTTTTTTTCTATTGTAATTTATTGAAGCTTGACGCGGCAATATGTATACTATTCCCTATACCTTATAGCGACCTTTTTTCAAACATGTTTCCCTGATTTTTTTTTACTTAAACCCGAAAGAGTATTCCAGAAATACTACAGTGGAACATACCAACATGATGTTAGTGTACGTTTACTTTTGAGTAACATAACGTCTTCTGACCGCCATTGTGCTAATCTATTCGTGCAAAGAAATTTCGTCCGCGGGAAAAGGGGTCACTTCAATAAACTTCATTTCGATAGTCTCTGTCATATAGTCTTACCTCTCGATTGCAACATTTTTTTCAGATTTGAGGATAAGAAGTCAAAGGGATTTAAGAATGCCCAACAAAAATTCCTCAAGTCAGTTACTGCACGTTTGACTGTTGCTCAGGTCAGTACCTAACGTTACATTTGGTGAATAGGCCTAGAAATAACAAAAACGTTCCTATGTATGTGATATTCGTTTGTTAAGTTAATTAGTTACAAGTTAGATGTTTTAAATCTAAGTGATCACTCGTCCGGATATATTTATCAGAAAATTTATTTTTCGAAAAACAACAACAAGTACCGAAATTGTTTATAAGAATTTTCCGTGAAAATAGCGAATAAACCTAAATATATATTATAGCCATTATTAAGCAAAGTATAATTATGTCGTATCAATTGTTTAGATCTATGGGTTAACTGGGGTCTATGGGGTTAATAGTTGCGTTACCGTTGGGCGAATCGGAAGTACCAAAGCAAAGTGTGTTATTATTATGAGCTTAACCCATAACAAAGTAGAAACAAAATTTTATGAGATGAGGATTATGCACGAAATGGATGTGACACGTAAACTGGTTGATGGAAACAGAGGGACTATGTAATGCTATTTAGGGTTAAAAAGACCTATTTGGATGATCTTATTCGAGAAAGTGTTGATTAAAAAAATGATCTCATCACATAGCACTCAACAGCAAGAATCGTCCAACCTTAATGTTTTGTTTTCATTCGGTATAGTGTCTCTATTGATTACACTTACGGTATGTTACAATCGCAGCTACTAACTACATGTCTTACATTCAATATATAATAATTGTCTGATAGCATATCTGTTGAGCATGGTAAAGTTGTTCATGGGACCCTAGGTCAAAACACGTCACCGCAATTTGACATATACGTACGGACAACGGGTAACAACTACCTGAAGGACCGTAATTGATTGAATCATTTCAAGCTGTTCTTGTGAACCTGCGCAGGTCGTGGAAGGCGTTCGTGGGCAGGGCGAATTAAATTTTGACTTTGTCGCGCTCATCCTACTAGCAGGGATGATTGCAGCTCTCGGATTGATGGATAACTCGGTGGTATCAATCATTGCCGCCATGCTCGTATCACCTCTTATGGTTCGTCTTTAGTGGCCAAGGGCGTATTTCTTTCACGTTGCACCTAGTTACTGATATATTTCGTATCCCCTAGAGATAAATATATGCCATTTCTTCTTTCTAATAACTAGAGGCCTAGGTGTTGGCCGTCAGGTCAACGATGTTAATCCCGTCCTGCACAGAACTGATGGAGCTGCTTCTAAACGGAGCGCTTGAGATGCGTTTCAGATTATTCAGCTTCGTATCGGTATGCAATGCAGAATATTCGAGTTGTCAAAAGAACGTATATTTAGCGCTTCACGCCCAAGACGTTTCATTTTTTACCTAAGCTAAATGATATGTCTTGCTAGAGCTTAAGGTACTGGTTGTTTCCAGATTGCCTGAATAGAGTCAACGTCGTTTGAATTGTGTGTGTAAAATGTGGTAGACTTGACTTAAATAGTTATTTGTACAGATACGATGTGAAATATTAAGGTTCAATGTTTTGACAGTGTATGTTGAATCATAGAAAAAAATCAAATGCTTTGATAGAGTGTTTTTTAATGTTTTTTTTTTTGTATATCGGACTGATTTCCGATTAGGGCCCCATAATGGCTATCACGTTCGGGATCATAATTCACGATATGAAGCTGATCAAAACGGGTCTTCGAACAGAGCTCTGTGGCCTTGTGCTCTGTTTGTTATTTGGCTTCTGTTTTGGAATTACGATGGCCTATTTCGGTGACGAAACGGGAGGCTTAGCGTGGGGGCCTAACACTTGGCCAAACCCCGAACAGACGGCCAGGTTCGTACATGTTGATGCCACACATTTTTCTTGATGTTTACCGTTAGAATTACACCGTCGTTTACCTCTGTGAGCTCATATTATATCGAAAAATACTAATTTACGGACTAACAGGAAATAACATGTCCCGAATCTGGCCTGAGCGCTCGATTTATTTTGTGGTGTAGTCTTCAAACCAAGCCGATGTTTATAGTCATGCAATTACCATGGAAGCATGCGGGATCATACTCGAAAGTTCATGATATTTCCAATTGAATCAGATATTCTCTGTTTATCGTGCTCGTCGTTCAGCCCTATTTCATCCGACACTGCAATGAACGACACCAGCAAACACTTATAATTGATACTTCGTGTCGCAAAAAATATAAGAGAGAAGTACATCTAGAATAAAGGAGAACCGCGTAAGTTTCTCAGTAAACGATGAAAATCCAACTATTTCTTAGTTTGCATTATGTTCTCCCGTATGTGTTCTCAAAGAAACACGCCTGTGCCAAACGTCCCATGTTATGCATTATATTAAGTTCATGTTTTTGTTTGATCTGTATGACAATACACGAACACATGTAAACAACATTCGTTATTAACACAGACCCCCATATCTATGTGTATATATATATATATATATATATATATATCTATATATATGATCTACTAAAATTTTGAAGTAAATAACTCCAAAAGTGGACAGGCGCATATCTGTCCCTAGAATTTACTCCCTTAAAATTAGTCCCGTATCGAATTTATTGAAGTGTAAGCATCTTAATTATATAAAGCAGCGTCAGTTCTAACATTGTCTGTGTATGGCCATTGTTGAAAAGTTCACCTTTATTTAGGTAGCTTATTGAAGTTGTAAGTAATATTTTTATATGCAAATGTGACACAAGTTAATACGTCAGCGTTATTTTAACGAATTATTTCTCTTCAATGCAGGGGCCAATGGCGGTCATTATGGGTTGGAGCTTTGGTAGCTTTGCCGTCAGGTGGTGGCGTGGCCATGGCAATTTTAGGCGGGAATTCAGCGTGTCTCGTCGGTGTCGCTATTTCAGCATCACTCTTGCCGCCTTCTATTAATTGTGTAAGTTATAGCACGAAATTCACAGAGTCTTAATCAAGGTATCAATAGTCAATAAATCGTCAAAATGTATGCGTCAGACTGCTACTGTCGACAAGTAAACAGCATTCGCGTTGACAACTGGGCTCTAGCAATCATAAAATAAACCGTCTACGATAGCACTGTAATCGAATTGCCCCTAAGAGCTCTACCTCTTGATCCGAGCATCTTTGATGGTAGTGCTGTTTATCCGTCAGAAATAACAGCAAATCCGTCAAAAATACCGTTTCAAAAGGGTACCTATAAGGGCATGCTAATTCATATGAAACAATGGTATCGAGACAAAATAAAAAACATCGAGCTCTTGTTTTTCTTTTTTGCATTAAATGCTGAGGCGTAACTTCAGTTCAGTAGTGGGCTACGTGTTTGCGTGCCCTCTGTTAATAATGCTGAATAATTTGTTAATTCTATTATTTTCTCTACTTTATTTCTATCCATGTAAGTGAAGCCATGTTTTTCGCATGACAAATATAAGCCGCTCAACATACATCGCTTATCTTAACCTCATAAAGTGGTCAAAATTGGAGTTTTCCTTCACTCCAATAAACGTAAAGTTCGGTAGTAACTATCATCATTACCCTGACTAGTCGTTCACTAAAACGTCATTGTTTGACGTGCAACATTCACGTCTTTAGGGAACGCTGTGGTCTCTGGCGTTGATGAAGGTGTTCAAGGCCGCCTTCCAGGAGCCTATTCAAGTAAGTTCGAATTTACTGCGTTTCGGTATAGGCAATTTGACACTGTTAGCTGTCCGTGCTACCATATGATCTAACCGTTGTTAGATCGTATGGTAGCACGGTTCATTCATTCAAATCAAGGAACTTTGGAAACTTAGTAACTAACAAAGTCGCACTAGTTTTGCTTTTGTTTATGCTGACCGACTGCTAAGGAGCAGCCGTATATTCATCTGCGACATATAATTAATGGTATAATTAGATGATTTCAACTAATCAACGTTTGGTGATTTCAAAATATATCATATCTTTGAAATTTCTTCCACCTGAAATTCTTCCACCTTTGAAATTCCACCAAACATCCAGTGGTTCGTTGATAAATACCCTCTGAGATTTTCTGTTTTAGCAAATCTCATCTTCGACTTTATTTACTCTGCTTTGTTAAACAAAGAAAGGTACTGGGTATATTATCTACACGAGTCAGGGGAACTTAATGCCTTCGAGAAAGCCGAAACATGGTTTTTTGCTCACTAACCAATAAAGTGTCTGTTCATTTCCTATAGGGTAAGCAAGCATCAGGAGATAATTGTTAATTAATTAATTAACTGAACATCGTGGATAGAGAATCAACTTATATTTGGTAAATAGTATAACATTACGAATACCCATGTGTCGATTGCTAGGGCTCACGTTCTGGCTAAAACCTGATCACTTCCTTTTTACCTACCTATATAATATTAATTAGTTCCTGTTAATTATAACGCATCTAATAAATTGTATGCAATACAGAGACACGACATTGTATAGCCATGTAAACCAGCCGCGTCTATTGAACGACCTACAGTGTAAACTTGATCTATTTGTTTCGTAGAGAAGACTATGAACACTAAAATCATCCTGGTACAATTGGCTGATAGCACGCACAGCAAATCAGCCTCCAGCTAATATCAATACTAATCGTAATTATTTTTACACACTTGCAACCATTTAATTCTACTATAAATGTGCTCCAGTTAAAAGTAAACGTACTTGTAGAATTTAGCAAATCCTTACTATTTCAAATGACACAGAATCGCGTACCAGCATTTTTGGCCTACAAACAGCCGAGAGCCATTGGGCTTGGTTGGACTGCCATTACTGCAGCTGGATCCCATACTTGCTGTTGAATAACAACTATATGTCGTTGCCCCTCGGCATTTTGTGTCCTTTAGTTTGCCCTGTTTGCAGAAAGCTATAAGGAACATATTTTCTGGCTGGACTCCCCACGCGTCTACAATAGGGGTTCTCACGGGCTAAAGGGCACGAAACAGCTATGAAGGTTTTGACTAGGCCGTAGGGTCAGAGTACATCGGATTCCAAGAGAACAGTGTAGTACTGGAAAGAGTCGTTTAATGTATTTTAAATTCAGCTTTTTGAACCCAAGACATTTATGTCGCGTGATTACTCATCAGTGAAATTAGTAATTAGCTAAGACACTAGCAAAGAGAATGAAACAAGAACTACCTACGTGAAACTACGGTGCTCTCTGATGACATAATGTGGCTTTTGCAGATCGATAGCAGGAGAATACGTCTGGTGTATGTGAAATACATATATCTGCAGCTTAAAATAGTGGATTTTTCAACGAGTTGTAGAGCGGTGTAACAGAGTGTAGCCATCCTTTGTCACAGTGTGACGTTTGAGACAAATAAGTTGAAGTTAAAAGTAGGAAAAAGCAAAATGGTAGGGAGAACTCGAAGGACAAGAAGCTACTATTTGCAATAGCATAGCATGCTAGCGACACTGACTACTTTCTACGTTTACTCTATATGATATATAGCAAATATTTTCTTCGCCATTTCAGAGGCAATCGAATTACTCTAATATGAGACGATAGATTAACCGGGGTCATACATAGTAGAAGACAGGAAAAGAAGGGACATCCTTGTATGCAATCTCGAGTAATCCTGGGATCCTAAATTTCGAGAGCCTGTAAAAAGTTAGAATTGAGATCGGACTTAACGTACGTTCCTCCCCTAATAGACACGCTTTTCATAGATTTTCATTGCGTATGCTCTCGATAAAGGGGTGAAAAATGTAGTGAGAACAATAAAATCGCTAGAAGTCAAACTTGTAGGGTGGCTGTAAAGGGTTGATTAGAGAAAGGCATTCTTATAAATTAATTTCTATGCAACAGTTCTGTCTTCTCCTACAGATGCTTTCTGTAAATTCAGGTTATTCATACGTAAAAAAAACTATCGTAAATATTCTATCTCTTAATGCAATAGTAGGTAAATATTTCCTCGTTTCTTTAACCTACGATTTTTGTTTTTGATTTTGAACAGGTATTAGTTGAAAATCCTAGGACGAAGGAGATGTTTAATACCACAACCTATTCAGCGTACCTGGCCCATGATGGTTTTAAAGCTTATTACTTTGACAATGCCAATATGCATAAGGAGTGCGCAGTAATGGCTATCAACTCATTCTGCCTTACGCTAGTTAATATTCTTTGTATCATTGTCGCTGGCTCCCTGTTCCTTAAGGTAAGGCAATAACATGTTTTTAGTATAATAATCTTGATAACTATTGTGACAGCTGATCAGGGCATATGACAGAATTTGCAGCGCCTCTCTAAAAAATAGCGCGGATGCAATATTTCAAAATGGAAGTTTTTCTCATCGGTCATCTAGGTTTTTGTTAATGCAATACCTATTTGCTCGAACTTTTATTTCGATCGATTAATAATAACAATAAATCTTTATTACTAAAAAAAGGTAATCACAGATCTATGCGGGAATGAATGATGAATGAAAATTGCTCGACGCGCTGGTCTCGGTAGATGAACAAGAAAAAAATGAACTAATTCATCTAATTAGGTGCAACTGTATTCTATGGAAATGGAAATAGATTTCCTAATTTCCATTTTAAATAATAGCCCCTTTCGTTTTCAGATAAAAGAAATTGCACCAGAAAAATCGCTTCCTGACACGGACCGCTTCTGGAAACACGATATAAAGGTGGCTCGAGAGTACAATAGGCGTAATACGACAGTGGGATCGAGCGGCGACATGGCCCACACGGTCCTATCGGAATGGGCGGTATGTTTTCGTCACACGCCTTCCCTTCTTATCTACCTACACGTACCACACTGACTGACATAAATTCTCATCAAATTGTTTAGCACAAAATTTTGTGTGTTTCTGAAAGCTAATTCAATGTATTTGTATAGAGCATTCTATCTAGTTGTAGCAGTAACGTAGTTGAAAAGTTGGTCTGTTCGAAAGGGTGCCGCATGGAGCTAACTTAAATGACTTAAGCACATATAAGTACATAATCCCTAACTTGCAGCAGAGATTACAAGAAACAGTAAAAATAGTCGCACCTATTTTATATGACCTGATCATTCAAGTTATCTTGTCTATGGCAATTTACAGCGATATTTTCTGTTTGCCAGGCGCTGCCCACAATCCCTAGACGGGCAGACCGACAAGCATATGGATCATAGCTTAATTCGCATGTTAAAGAAGCCATACTCGCCCAACGAGGTTTTCAGTGCTCGATTGAAAACGAGAAATATCCTAAATGGATGCTGTAGAAGCAGTGTAGTCGCAGCTTCGGGTACAAGATTTTAATAGCTATGGTATCTATACACATTGCTACAATTGCAGTATGGAAAAAAAATATGCCTTCGTCACGTCTTGGCGCTAGTGGTCACGCAAAAGACTCGATGTGTCCTGCGGTTGTTGCTGTTATTATTATTTTGGTATACGCGACAAGAATTACCGAGCCTATATATATATATCTATACATATATATTATGCGTACAATAGTGAACGTTTCCGGAATTGCTTAGCGCTATTTCCCCATTAGAAACTGATATAGGATAAGCAGCTTCGAACAAAATCAGCCGCAGACTCAAAAACTAATTTTGTCAATCAACTTTGTTTTCATTCCAATCAAGTTATTATTTTTGCACAAGTGAACTAATTTTCTCGTTTTCAACTGTAGTTGAAGTTAGCTAGACCCTATATATTGTACGGTGTTATACAATACGGCAGCATTACATTGATCTGTTTTCATTCCAAGAACAAAACACGTTTTCGCATCGTAAATTTTTGATAGCTTGGAAGAATAAGTCGTAATCGCAGATAGAAAGCTCAGATTTGGCTCATTTTTTGGAGTAATCATTTGCCTAATTGGAGTATGACAAATAATAACACAGTTTGTGTGAACAGAAACATCGCTATTGCAATTGTCTTTACAGACGGTTGCTGGCATTGATCCTAAGATGATGCAGTCGGATGACCCCAAAGCTCGCATATCGCAGCTTCAGACACTTCAAGACATCCTCATGGTACGTTACTCGATACAGACACGAAGCAGATATTCGCAGGGAAACTAAGATGAAGTGTAGTACAGGGAAAATTTAGAAAGCTATCGGCATGAAAAACATAATTTTGCAATGAATCGTGGTAGGTAGAAATTTACCTTTGTGTAAGAATAACAACTGTCTGATGAAGATAGGATAACGTTACGTAATAGAATCCCCTCAGTTAATTAGAAGATCGTCTGTCGTTTTAAAACTGATATTTTGTTGCTGAGTTTTTTCTACGCCAGCGTTTGTGCAATATAATAATAGAGACGTGAGCGAATGGTATATGGGCAAACCCAGTCGTGAGATACGTAAATAATAAACGCTTTTATCATTCGTTTACCACTTGTACAGTGCACCCGCATGCGTATTGCCTCTGGTCTCTTTGTAAAGGCAAAATCTCACTGGATTATGATCTAACTTAGACGATTTACCAACTGGCTTGTTACTGTTGCTGGCGTCCACCAGTGTAACACAGATATACCGCGTACCAACCAGGTGCCATTAAATCTAGGAGAACTTAAGCAGTAATTGTTAGCAGTAGAGTAAGTAGAGGAGATTGGCTAATGTAATATTGATGCTTGTTTTTAAATATTAGGAGCTATTTAATTTGAAGTAGTGAATTTTTAATGATGAACGGTATATCCCTTTCTCTGCCCCTTTTATGCCGGGAAATGCTTTTCAAGACCGCGAAACCTTGAGGTGGAACTCTCGATTTAAAAACTTCTCTGAAACATCTGATTTGATTGCATTATATTTAGACCTACTAATTTTGATCATTCCTTGTAGCGTCATGATACAATAACGGAATATGCGTGAAGTGCACGACGTTCTATATTGACATATCGGTAATAGCCATTTGACTTCAACGACTAATAAATGCCAATTATCTAACAGGATGCCGAAGATGATGAGGTATTCCAAACGGTCGCAACAAAAGTTAGCAATCTGAGTGGAGCGGATCCGGTTCGTCGGCTCTCGCGGGCCGTCTTGCCGCAGTTACCGAAGGCGTCTGCTGGCGACACAGTGCCTCCAGTAGGAAGCGGCGTAGGCGCTTACGAAAGGCGGCCGAGCGTGCTCGTCGGCAATATGCTGCAGGATTATGAGAGAAGACTCAGCCGCTTCGACAATTCTTGCTACGTACGTCGAGGTCTTCGCGATCGATCAACAGATTCTAGCGCTTGATATACTAATGATTCTTTTGTCCGCATTGAAAAGTGATGTACGACGAAGAATAGATACGTACACCTAAGGGAAGATGCTAAAGATTTCTGACTTCTACTAACTACTACTGAATTTTCTTTTTTTGAAAGAATGCAATATGTTTCTATAACGTTAGTTTTTATTAAATGGTTGCGGATATTTCTGTATGTTACTAGTATATAATAGTGTCGCATCCAATATGATTACGCATTCGTTAATTCAGACTTTTAATTATGTTGATTAGTTTGTTCAAAATAGATTCTTCAAAGTTAAAAGTACTATATATACTAACGAACAAATTGCGGTGTAACAGATCAATCCGGAGTTTTCGTCTACGAATTCTGATCCAGTTATACCAAACCATCTCCAGAACCGGCGCCGATCCTCGGTGGCCCGTGCGATGAACTTCAGTTATTGGCCAGGGCAGAGCCAGACGCCCCAGAAGCTGTTCGCCGAAGGAAAAGAGGCTGGCCGAGGTCGACTGAGCACAAACAGAAGTGTCGCACCCGTTCGCGAGGAGGAGGACGTATACAGCCACATTTAAATGATCCATTACTAACGCCCGCATTAGAGGTCCGCCATATACTGGCACACATTCATCCACAGGCATATATGATGACTTACATGAACAACTTCAGGCAGAAAATTAACTCGTTAATACTTATCCCGAGATTTTTATCTCCCTATCTCGCTACATAACAATCACTCGTTTAACCAACCCTTGCTACCACTGTTACACGTAGATAGATTTTATGTTTAGAGCTTTATGTCCGATATCGCCGTCGGCTGGCTCCCAGCACAAAGCGAAACCTGTATACGCTACGTAGATACAACTATCTCTATACTTGCCATTGCAATGAACATATACCCGTTAAGTCACGTCCAGTTAAACCTGACATTTTGTAAGACTGAAGTTTGTAGCATGAGCTGTCGATTTAAATCGATGAACCCAGATTTTCTATCGACGGAAAACACCACTGCGGTACAGACTAGGATTTACAGGGTAAGTAAAAGCAACAACGATTGTCGACTACACGCAGCCACTTGTGCCGCCAGATTGGTTCTACTAGCAATTGTGAAACAAAAAACCAGCGAACTACGGAAGTTAGTCTGCGATTTTATGGATGACTGTAGCTGCGGCTGTTTATTTGATATATACACATATTTCGATTGTGAGGGATTAAGCCGTTAGTCGGAGACTGTAACCTAAGGCTTTCAAACCTGGGCCGCGCGTCCGAGTTAGCAATTGGTCCTCGTTTATATCTTTAACTGCGACAATTTAAGCACTTACATAATGCACTACCTTGAGATACTGACTAAAGTGTACCATTGTAATCGTCGTAGTGCCTACATTTAGGATGATGCCTATGCTATTATTAGGACAAACAATCACAGAAGCTCTAAATAACGGTAGATAGACCTTTTCTGTTTTGTTATCGATACTCCCTGACTAGGAATATGTGAACATTCGCTTGACATATGCACTTAGTACAATAAATTAGTAATAATTATAACTGGAAGGTAGTCAAACAATTTGAATGAAAAGTCTTGTTTGAAGTCGAAAATTTCTGGTAGATTTTATACCACGATATGTTGTGGGCATACTAGCGGGTTCGAAGCGCTTGTCTTGCTTACGCCGCCTATGTTATATAGTTTTTCTAACGAGATAATCTTTTTCGATGAAATAACAGACAAACGCGCTTATTGGAAAAATTATCCTGTACTATTGATCATGTATACAAACTGAAATTAATAAAAAGGAACATCAGTTTCAAGCTCGCCTAAACATTCAAGTTGGAAGTACGAACGATGAGCAGAAGTTACGTGCTGCCTAACTCGAGTTCTCAAAGGCGTAGCAGTAAAATCTTATAACGGCAGTATCGGGAGCACATTAGCCTGTGAAGGACAATGAGGATTTTCGTTAATGAAGAATTCTTTTCAGGCGTCCATCGTATCTACCATGATTCTATGGTAGTGTTAGTATGGTAGTATTGGATAGTTGACGGGCAAGCGTGGCCAACGCCACGGCTGGCTTAAAATATACACAAACGTACAAATAAATAATTTGAAACCACTGGTATTTTTCTGTTACTGGTAAGTTGTCTAATGTCAGGCCTATTTCAGATCGTTTGCGACACTATATATAATAAATGCTGTGCAGGTGTCATATAAGTAAGCAGCCACTGTGTTATTAAGAAAATAAAGCGATACAGTCTGAAAGCAGGCATTCAGTGTTGCAGAATCTGGAATGGGTATACACAAGCCATTAAGTTTACAATACGCTGCTTTTTAAGGCCAGAATTATCATTATGATTATTATTCTCCTAACTTGAAGTAACATAGAATTATGATCTCAACTTAATAACTTAATATTATCTATATACGCCTCTTTTTTCACAAAAAAAAAATTGCTTTTCTTTTAAACTCTTTCACGAGTTCATGTTACGGTGCTTTTGGATGAACTGGACATTTTTAAAGGCTCTTCAGAGTGGACAAGCTACTTGACAAAACTATATTGAGACATTTTTTATGCGTTCATCATCAGGAACCAGGTGGTTCACTGTGTAATTGGGCTTAAGTAATTTGATTCTCAATGGGGATGGTTCAGCTGCAACCTGAAAGTAAAAGCAAATAAACTACCTACGAGCATCGTCACTAGTTCTTCTGAAGGGTCGCTAGCTTCTTTCGTCTTTTTCTGGGGCGAAGAAGCTGTGGGAGTAGCATGTGATTATCGCCCTTATATATTATACATATAAAAGGACTACTTGAAAGTGGTTAACGAAATCCAATAATGGAATCCTTGGACTGTATGACGTAAGGCTCACAGGTCGGCCATCTGAGGTTAGTGGAAATCGTTTGAAGGCATTCGCGAACGAAGACTGCCGTCAAGCAACTCACAATTTCCAAAGCAAGATAAACTGCAGTCATACTAACTATCGACAGGCACCTTAAGTCTATATTACGCAAATTAGGGGCAGAGGCGCTCCGTAAACTGAATTAATAGTACAAAGAACATGGCTTTTTTCATCACCTCTCAAGATCTCACCCACCAGGCAATACAGAACCACCATGACAGGGCAGAAGTGATACCTCCACGCCAACACGAAGCAGGTAAACAACTGGGATAGCTTCTGGAGACACACCTTAATCCAGAACTAATCCTGATCTGCATCCCAAAAAAACATAATTCGAGTTTGGTATGACTGGATAACTTTTATATGCAAGAAAATACTGGAGAAAAACAAGAAGGTCAAGGCGTTCAGGCTAATAGGAAGGGTCCAATACAGCAGGCAACGTCATTCTGCTTGTCAACGATGCCAGGCTATTCAGGGCAAAGACTGTGAAAGATGCCCTACAAGAATCTGAGTGGGAAATTCTTCTGCATCCAGCTCATTCTCAAGTCCGCGTACCTCCAGATTACCACTTTTCCGACATTGACCAATTTATTTAGTGCCAAACATTTGACGGTGAAGGGGGTCTTAAGACCTGGCTGAACAAATTCTTTCACTCTAGACCCGAGAGTTTCTGGAAAGAATAACCAAATTTGTTGATAGATGTTGACAAGGTCGTGAAGCGAGTACATAAGAAATAATTTTTTTCCTCGAATTTGACTAAAGCATTGCATCTTTTTGTTAAATGCGAAAAGGGCAAAGAATTAAAACGCAGTCTGACATTTGTTTACCTAGCGGTCGATCTGTCGGATTTCCTGTGCACCACTAGCTTTATTCCAAGAGATATCTTATCAAAGACTTGAATGAGCATATAGAGACCCTCATTTGCTATAGCTGTTTGTTACATATCAACTCCTCGGTGCCGGTACTCACGCAGCTGCGATTGTTGACTGGTAGAACCTCTTCTTTTAGCCTGAAGCCAAACGAACAACTCTCAACGAACGAACGGACGAAATCCGCTGATTCCCACTCACTGCTTTCGCTACTCCTTCCCGCGCTAATTGAGAAAGCGTATCTCGCCCGCAGCGACCCCTGGCGCCAGCCGACACGAACCCGAGGATTGCGCGTTGTACCAGCGCCTGCTGGAGGGGTAAGACGGCTGTCGCGTTCACGAAACGATTCGGCATCAACGAAAAGCTCTTTGAGTTTTTACCAATATTCAAAAGAGATCGCAAGAGTATAAATGAGTGTGATTATTTTTCCACAAAAGTTTTGTGAAAACCACAGGGCGAACCTCAGTGCAGTGAGCAAGTGAAGATAGCCAGTGACCGAAACGAAAACAAGACAGCTTCTTACACCAGTTCTCTACAGGGTAAAGATGTCTCGTACGCTGGCTTAGACTTGTGGAGGATTAGAAAGCAGAGTGTATCTGCCTGGATTTGTTGGTACGTATAGCTCATAAGCTGGAAGTATTTGTGTTTTTGAGTACGATTTAGTCTGGCGCGAAAGAGCCGACAGATAATGGAAAAATGCCGCTGGGCAAATTTTGAACGAAGGAGATGGTGGCGAAAAGTGGATTGGGTATGAAATTGTTGCAAGCAATCGCTGGGTCAGAAAAATGTGAGACTCTCGTGCAGAACCTTTGCACATTCTTAGAGGCAGACAGCGTAAACGAAATCAAAAGATTGGCTTTGTTGGACTATATAATAACCGTAGTAATAGAGAAAAGCATACATAAGTGTTTAACATCAATACGCCTCTCAGTGTTTATTGAATATTTCATGAAGTGACGATAGCCTTTCATATGAACTCATGCTAGATGACTAAGCTGGACACCAATTTGTAATGCATGAAAAAACTTCTCGACTTTTATTAACGATAAAAAATAGTACGAATATCATTTACAAACATTGTTTATCCGTGTTGTTTTGTATCGCGAACGCACAGTTATTCCAGCTCACTTCTACTGGTAGTTAGTTGTCCGGGCCCAATCTTATCCGGTCTTCTCATTCTTCTATTTTTGCTTCGAGATAGAGCCAGCCAGCCAGCCAACCAGCCGGAGTAGCGGGTGTGTGTGGAGTGGCCCCCAGCGGGCGCCCGCAGATACTCACTCTAGGGGTAGGGACTTGCTCTGCCTGTTTCGGTCTTCTTGTTCAGTTCGACGGTTCGTTCAATTGTTTTTCTCGTCTCTCGCGGCCTCTCGGCCATCAGCAGTCCTTTCACCCAACGAGTGCGCAACACGAGGCTCTGCAGGACCATGACGACGAATGCCGCGACAAGGCAGCCGGTCGATTTCAGCTTCTTCCAGCCTCTTTAAGTGTCCTCCAACAGTTTCGCAGAAAACAAAGCCGTTCCTAGTCTGAATATTGGTGATTTCTCGGTCCTTTGGCGCGACGGTGATCGCCGCAGTAACGGTAACCCTGGCCGACGCCTTTTCAACAATGCGGACATGTAACAACTTAATTGACCCTTCCTATACCTCACTCACTACCTCTTTGCACTTTGCGTTTTCGCATTGATGACACTTGAGGACAGCTTGCAATATTCAGTCTCTCAAAATACCAAAGGCTGTACGGAACACCGTTTATTTTGGTGAATACAATTAGAAATAGTTTTTTCGGCGATGAGAGGCGTCAGTCTTTCATGCAGTACTGCTTTGTAGAACTTTCCTTGAAACTGTCCCGTGAATGGTATTCGTTTTTATGGCTTATCCATAAATTGAACTGTCATTACATTGAACCTTAGCTATTTGGTCAACTACTATTAAAAAAATTGCCTGACCTTGCGCTAAAAAAATCATTTTATTTGTAGGAAATATCCCTACTATTTGAAGTACAGGGACTGAAAGTTTTTAGCTTGTGTAAAAAACTAAATTACGAACTTGCGTATGGCTCGTTACGAGCAGCCTTCGTCATCATGTCGCCCCGAATACGATGCCGTATCGAAGTACACGTGTGACGAACGTAATCTTCACGAATACATATTCTAGTTTAGTACGACTACTATAAAACAAGACGGGCTACACCAATCATTTATCCGCTAGGGCTGTTGTGGCTGTCTGCTAATTCAGTAGTCTTCAAGAACACCAAATCCTCTACTCCTGTAAACGTATGCGTCTAAGCAGAGCTGGTCTGTTATAATCAGTCGAGAAATGGCGCTGGTTGATTTACTGGCTATCGAACCAAGCTACAGATGCGTCAGTGTATCGTCTGATGTCGTCGAAGAGGCTCAACAATACGCTGCGTGACACTCTACCGAAGGATATTGCAGATTCGTTTGCTAGACCCACAGTCGCGGACACCGCGCTGCCATCATCACAATCGTTGCCGTGGTAATCAAAGCGATAGCGGCAGCAGAACCACGCTAACTAAGGAAAGAGATACGTCGAATCGCTTAACGCTGTAGCGGCGTCTCGCAGAGACACCCACGCAACTCGACAAGGACCAGCAGCAGAAACCGCAGATGGATTTCGTACGTTCAGTTATCTGTTCTGTTTCAATGGTGGCCATTTTGTAGACGATGCTGAGTCCAGCTGATATATAGGACCAACGCCGAACGAAGTAGTGAAAGAAAAAAGCGAGTCCGCCTTATATGGAGGCGTCGGCGGGAGTGACGGGCAAATGCATCGTGCAGCACGATCGAGCCTATAGACCAATTGGCTTTACGAACAGCGTACGCCAGACGATATTCGATAGCGCATTCAACGCAGCCCCGTTGATCGCGATTTGATCAGTGTAGCCAGGGACGCTTGTGTACGCGCGTTTCCATCTGAAAATCTGCATTACATTGCAATGTAACGTTTCACGATTGTCTGCTAAAGGCACGGCATCAATTTAAATTCGATAACTTAACCCATACTGAGTCAACAATATTGACGAGACGCTCTTAGATACCTGTGTTAGATTTTTTTTTCCTTATTAGGAAAACCTAAGAGGAAAATGTTGGTAACCTTTCGCTAATCTGTGCATACGATCGTTTCCGGCTCTAAGGAGATGTTTCAGTAGAACTATACTGATCTAAATTGTGTAGTTTTCAAGTTCAAACGACATAATGTATGCAATTAGAAGGACAGAATGGCATTAGAGTACGATAGCATACGCCGCTTCCTGTTCTTCCCATAGCTACACAATATATGACATCTGGTCCTAGTAATGTTGACACAGTTCGAGCTATCATACACACATCGTGCAAGACACGAATTAGTATTTTTATACCTTCATCGGCATTAACGTACATTATTTTTTCATGCAAATAGGATTTGAGCTAACTTCAGACATCGGTACAAATGAAGGTGCCGAAAAAGCTGCGTCATATATTAAATGTATGCCATTGCAAAATACACTAAAAAGCCATATTTAGAAAAAAAACCATTGAAAAATGTTTCGTCTAAATAGATGATATCCAGAATTTTTGCTTTTAATTTAAATAAAATATTTCTCTAGTTGCTTCCTTCATAAACGATAAAATCTTAGAAAAATAATAGCAAGGACGATAGTAAGTCTATAAAAATAAAGCAGTATAATAGCAAGTGAGTTGTTATCGGGTCACCACTCATGCGGACTGCTAGCATTAAGCCAAATAAGTTAAGCTATCGGAAAGCCCATGTAATGGAACCAGGGACAAACTAATTCTGTGACTGAACATTTTTCTTTCTAGACATCTATTAATTTCACCGTAAAGCGGACTGGAAATTGGCCGACAACGTTAACGTATTTAACTTGCTTCAAGCAAGATAAAACGCTGCTGTGCGAAGATATTACATAGAAATGAAGAGCGCACTCCCTTAAATAGATAGTTCATAAAGCGTTCGCGCTTTGACTAACCGGATATAGTTGTGCTGAAGAACAAAGTTGTGCCGTTCGGTCAAACTACGAAACCTTTATTCGTTACCGTAGATATATGACTACAGAACTTTAAACATTATCCTAATAACTTGTACTATAATTAAATCTAGGTTTTCTGAGGCGGAAATCGCCCGAACAGAGCACCGTAATAAGAACTGTGCTAAGTGACATATTCATACATTTTCATTACATAGATGAATTTCAGAGGGTTTCCTAAATCAAACAATGCACTATATATATATATATATATATATATATATATATATATATATATATATATATGTACATGGCTTGACCTCATTTAGAGTTACGTCCACTCCACTTGCCTGTAAGTAATTCAATAATAGGTAATAGAACTAGGCGAAACACACATGGGACAGATCTGCTGTGACTCAAATGATTATAAGCTCATCGATTTGATAGATTATATTGAGTAATAGCGTAGCAAAAATAAATTGCATTTATCGGATTTTAAGATAAGAGTTAAACCGGCTAACGGTTATTTCATAATGGACATTGGCTTTTAAATTGAGGCTTCATTTAGATATTTTTTTACTATTCTCCGCGCTCCGGTGGTATGTCGCTGGCTGCAGGCACGCTGCATTTAGCCCACGAAGGTCAGCTTTCAAAGACCGAGAAGAAGAGATCCATTGTTCCATGCCTGTCACATCGTAGCCACAAGCGATAGGTAACGACAAAAGATTCATCCAGTTACTTTCACTTGGTGGACGGGAGCCTTTTAGCTTTTCTCGGTCGGAGAATTATCACCTATAAATACCCTAGCACCAAAGGGCTTACAGGACACAGTTTGATCGTGCCTTATGAAGAAAAGCTGCGCAGCCTGGTAGCAGGCATCCATAACAGGCTCCGCCTGTACACTGACATCTGAACAACTGATGGCGGTATATATTCTGCTCGAAGTGTCAATAAAAGTGTGAGCTCAGAGGCGTTGCTTAGCAGGATCTACTAAAAGCCACATAAGGGCGAGGCTTGCCCGTCTAACAAATAAAGGTTTGCTTTCTGTATATGCGGTGCATACACGGTAGACTAGGTAATAGTATTGTTACATATTCCGAAGATGAAAATTCGGTGTGAGTCCTAAGCTATAGATGACGACGTGAAACGCGTATAAGCTTTGAATAATGGTTACTCAATGTGGATTACATGGAGAACAGAATAGAAGATGGAAAAATACGATGGAAGTGTGTGAACGATTGAAACCTGTGTGAACGTAGCGTAGATACACAAACATTTGTATCGAATTAGTGTCTTGGCTAGCTTGTAGCAGACGACGTTTAGAGATATGACGTCGAAATAAACGCGTCCCACGTACTTTACTCTGTATTTACAAAATGTACAATATTACAATTTCAGTCGCACTCGATTGTAAATCAGTACTGAAGTTCTCCTTCACGCGTATTCGGCAGGTTTAGCTCTTTCAGACTACCACTCACTGAAGTAGATTCGATGCTTACTCTCCTAAAAATAATTCTCAACAAGAAGATGATTCCCATTGTTTTGGCTCAAACAGTCGAGGACTGCTCGCTAGATCTCTTATAAACCCCGAACTAGCATTGACCAAGGCAGCAGATGACTACAAT